CGTGCGCACACGCACACACACACACACACACACACATACACACACACACACACACACACACACACACACACACACACACACACACACACACACAAAAATAAGACTCCCACACAACAAACAACGACAATACAAATTGACAACAGAGAATAATTAAGTGCTGACAGTCCAGAAAGAACGACACATAGAAGACAAAAGCAAGGGTTGCTCGACGCCACTCATATAATATATATTAATTTATATAAAGTGACTTCAGTACTTCGACCTTGACAACGGTTATTTGTCAGAATATATACTGCGGGGTTTTATTGTCGTTGTTTTGTTTTGTTGTTTGTTTGTTGTTTGTTGTTGTTCTTTGTTGTTTTTTGGGGGGTGTTTTTGGGGTGTTTGTTTGTTGTTAGTTTCTTTGTTAATTTTCGTGGGGTTTTTTTAAATCTTTCCCGGTTCCATTTTGAATGCTCTGTCATATATGCGATGTGATCTCACCCGAGACTAGACAATAGTTCTCCCGCCACTCATCTCTCTAGGTTCCCCTGGTGGAAATGTTCTCAGGCACGTAACAACACTAGCATGATCACAGCTCAAAGGTCAATCCCTCTTGTCTCTTGGAAGTTGTCCTTCCGCTCGCCAGGTCAGCTCTCTCTCTCTCTCTCTCTCTCTCTCTCTCTCTCTCTCTCTCTCTCTCTCTCTCTCTCTCTCTCTCTCTCTCTCTCTCTCTCTCCTCCCCCCTCCATCTCTCTCTCGCTCACCGTTTCTCAACAACGTTTAATCACATTTACTGCCTAATCGACAGAAAAAGAAACTCTCACTTGAAACTCTTCCGAGTAGAGAGGTCCAGTAGGTACAAAGGCGATCTGCGTGGAGCCCCCGCCCATCTCTAGGACTCCTGCAGACTTGGTGGGGAGACTAGAGGGACGGAGGGACGTGGGGTGGGGGGGGGGGGGGGGGGGGGGGGGGGGTGCGAGAGACAGAGAGGAAGAGGGACAAGACCAAGATGAACCGAGGAAATAATCACAGAACAAAAGGTGAATACATAGAGAATGCACATAAATGCGTGTATATTATATTCGTGTATTACTGCTCAGATTTGTTTTCGTTAAATCTATTCTTGGGTTATTTTTCTCGTTGGGATTTGTCGTGTTATGTGTGTGTTACTATTTCGGGGATGTATCGGGAAGGATAAAAAATGTCCCACTCGGATTCGAACTTCGAACTCAAGTATCATATATCAAGTTAATAGCTCACTGTTCAACAAGACTTACCCTCCATCAGGAAAAGGTTAACACAAGGTTCATCTTCAACCAAGAAAAGGAGTAACATCATCTCACCCTGGATCAAGGTAGGAGTAAAGACAAGCCTCAACTCCAGCCAAGAAAAAAAGTTAACCAGGGTTCACCCTCGCCCACCCTCTATTACGGAAAGAGTTAACCCAAGGCTCACCCTCTAGCAGGGAGGAGAATTAACACTAAGCTCACTTCTTGTGCTCAAAGAAACCGTTGAGATAGTTGACGGCGATCCAGGCGTAGACCCCCTCCTCCTCCCCGGAGATGATCTGAGCGTTATTGAGGGAGAACTGGAAGGGGCTGATGGACGTGTTCAGCAGGAGGGAGCGGACCATGGACATCAGGTGTGTGGCACTCTCGGCGCTGAAGTACCTCATACCTGGACAGAATACCGAGAAACACACATTGGTTATAATGATAACGATGATAATTAAATGGAATAATGATGATGATACTGATAGTGATAATAATCATAATAATCATATTGATAACAATAATAATTATTATTACTTTTAATAAAAATAATAATATAAATATAAAAATAGTAATAATAATATCATAAATAATAATAACAATAATGATAATGATGATAATAATAACAACAACAATAGTAATAATAATAACAACAGCAGCAACAACAGCAACAATAATAATAATAATAAATAATAATAATGATACTAATAATAGTAATAGTAATAGTAATAATAATGAGGAGGAGGAGGAGGAAGGTGGTGATAATAGTAATAATGATGATGATAATAATAATAATAATGATAATAATAATGATAACAACGCTAATATTGAGGAGGAGAAGAAGAAGAAGAAGAAGAAGAAGAAGAAGAAGAAGAAGAAGAAGAAGAAGAAAGATACTGATAAATAATAAATGAATAAATTAATTAAGTATCCCCGCTCGACAGCAAGCTCTATGCGGTTTACACTATATTATTACCCTAAAAAACACTAGGACACTAGGAAGCATACAGCGCAGACAGCTGATTAAGTGCTGAAACATTAACAAACAGACAAGATCCTATGCTGTCTATGGCCGGGTACCACTTGGGGGAAGTGAGGAAAATTCATGTAAAGTGCCGTTGCCAAAGACACTTCTTTGGGCTCGTGACAGGATTTAAACCCACTATCTAACGAGAGGTTCAACCACTCGGCCACCAATCTCGCATGCGAAAAAAACAACACGTGTTTGGGTAATTGTTGCAAATTCATAGTTTGCTGGGTATGAAAGGATCAGAAGGGTGTCGACTAAGGATTCAGTATTAGGCGGGGTCTTTTTCTTGATTTGTGACTTCATCAAAATGCATTCATGAACTTTGACGTCAAATATCGCGATAAATCAATATCAAAACAATATGACAAAGAGTGCTAGCATTTCATCGCTTTTCTTCCTCTTGGATTATGTCAATCAAAATACGAGGCCTGTCTCAGAATAAAGTTTCCCAGTCATGGTGTCCTCACATATGATTATAAATCACCTTGTATTTGGTATCAAAAGAAAGCTTATTCAAAACGTATTCAACGTAGGAACTATCAAGTTCCTGACATTTCTCCATTTGATGTACGCAGCGGTCAAAGACAGTGGTCAGTGATCGTTTGTCCAAGGTCCCGAGTGCTTTTCTCACAGCCTCTTGAATCTGGTCCTCGTCCTCAAATCGCCGACCTCGCAGCATTTATTTCACCTTGGGGAAGAGGTGGAAGTTGCACGGGGCGATATCGGACGAATAGGGCGGGTGTTCCAAGAGTTCCCACGAGTAGCCCTCAAGAAGCTCGTTCACAACTCTGGACTTGTGAACAGGCGAGTTGTCATGATGCAGGATGACGCCTTCTTCAAGCAAAGCGGGTCTTTTGTCCTGATCGCAGGTCGCAGTTTGTCTTTGAGGACGAATCTGTAATAGTCACCATTGACAGTTACGCCAGGTGGGACTAGCCAGCTCACTATGATGCCACTCATGTCGAAAAAAAACCCAATGTGCATCACCTTTCTCTTCCTGTGTTTTCTGTGTGCACTTCATCTTTCATGTCAGACCTCCCACTTTCAACCTCTCTGATCCATTTCCTTACTCTCTGATTTGATGGGACATTATTCCCTACAACTTTGTATAGATCACCATGGGTTTCAACTGCTGAAGAGTTGAAAATTTGATCACAACTCGGGCATCATAGCATGAGACGGTTGCACCAATGTTTTGCTCAGACATTTTCCTCAAATTTGCCTTGGACAACGTGCACAAGAACACCACACTTGACACGTCACTGCTCTATGACTCGTTCACCAATGCACTTGCAATTTGGAGTTGATGTTTCTTAGATATGATGTCATGACTTCACAAAATTTAGTGGCTGTTGGTTGCTTACTTTTGATTTTATGGAGGAGGGAAACTTTAATCTGAGACAGACCTCGTAGCTCACACGAGACACAAGATAACAGGAGGGCCATTTATTGGTCATTGGCTATTGTCTAGGTTTTACACCCCTTTCACCACTCTAAGCTTATTTAAGAGCCGGGACCTCCGAATTTTAAGTCCATCTCCGATAGGATCAAGCCAAATGGGTGGATAACGGTAAAACTCCCTAAAACAACCCAAGTTCAGAGCACCCCGTCGGTGATTCAAACCATGTACCAACTGAGCTAATGGTGATCCAAGGAACATTCATCGATTCGTTCGAAAAGCAAAATAAAGTCTGAAAATCATACCCGCAGTGGCGTAGAGGTAAATAGGCGAGTCCTTTTGTTTGTCCTCGGGCACCGATGCTTTGGCCTGGTCCAGTATATTGGTCAAGTAGGTCTTCAGCTCCTCTTCCGTGCCCTTGAACTCGCTGAGTCCCGGTTTGAACCTCTTACTTACCACGAGATGTACGGTAGGCGTGTGCTTGTGGGATTCAGCCTTGGACCATCTGCGAACAGGGAATGTGATTCGTTATCACATAGAATATGCCTGTCGTTTCCTTTCCATTCGTTAGTCTTAACAGCGCTTATTGTACATGTGACCCACATCCCCATCCCCTTCACCCTCCAATGTCACAAACACCCCCCCCCCTTTCTCTCTCTCTCTCTCTCTCTCTCTCTCTCTCTCTCTCTCTCTCTCTCTCTCTCTCTCTCTCTCTCTCTCTCTCTCTCTCTCTCCCTCTCGCTCGTCGCTCGCTCTCTTACTCACTTACACTTACACATAACATAAACACACAAACACACACACACACACACACACACACACACACACACACACACACACACACACACACACACACGCACACATACATACACACACACACACACACACACACACAAACACACACACACGAACACGTGCACACACATACACACACCTGTACACTTTAAGCTTGGTGCTGGTACTTCCAGCGTCCATGAGCAGGCCATAGTTGGGGCCATCAACTGAGTTTCCGGTGACGTCAAGGGTCTGAGAGAGTCCGGTCAGGGTGAAGGTCATGCACAACATGGAGACCAGACGACAAAACGGCGTCGGAATTCGCATGGTAGATGGTGAAGGTTTAATTTCGTGATGGGTGTTACTGTAATATAAAAACCTGGGCAAAGATGAAAAGAAATATCAAAATATACCTTTGTATATCATGAAATCGTGGATTGGTTTCTGTTGTTGTTGTTGTTGTTGTTGTTGTTGGTGGTGGTGGTGGTGTTATTGTTGTTGTTATTGTTGTTGTTGTTGGGGGTGGTGTTATTGTTGTTGTTGTTATTGTTGTTTTTGTTGTTGTTGTTGTTATTATTGTTATTGTTGTTGCTGCTGCTGTTATCGTTGGTATTGTTGCTGTTGTTATCATGTGGTTGTTATTGTTGTTATTATTGTAACAGTTGTAATTAGGTCTTATATGATTAAAAAACAGCGGGCCGTGATCATAGGATGCGCAAAGATGTACCTCAGAAGAACATCATGATGACGCGCGTCGCTCAAGTTTGCCACCGACTTTGCTAAGATGTTCAATAAATGGGAAAGTAAATAGAATTAAGACTTTGAATTGAGCAATAAAGAGAGAGGCATTTAGGATTTTCACGATATCGATACGTCAAATGGAGAGTAACTTGTACTTTGATTGTATTTTGACAACCGTAGACAGATAGGCTGGGTAGCTCTTCGACTGGAGTGTGTAAAATGGGGACTTAGGGATAGAGGGTGAGGTTGAAAAAACGGGAGGGGGCTATAAAAACAATAGGAAGAAGTAAATGCAATCTATGATCGTATGTTCTTTTTCACGAGCCAGGTCTGAAACAAACAACACGATTCGCCACTCATTTCTTTGCTTGAATGTTCTCAACATGTATATTATCCTGGTCCTTTCCCCTCATCCATCTGTTCAAATTCTATAAGTAAGCTATTCTTCATCTACCTACCCCTTTGCCGTCTAACTGTTATACATTAAAGGGGAAACATTTTATATTTGGCCAGACAGTACTAGTAAACAACGACTCCTGTACCTGGAATATTTTAAAAGCATCTGTGAGTGTGAAAAGTGGGATTATCATTTAAGAGCACTCACTCGCAGCTATATTCTTTCAAACATTTTTATTACAGTGCAGATAGAGCATTTAAAAGACAGTAATACAAGCAGACAAATCATCAACGATTTCATCTTCAGAAATGCATTAAGATTTGTTCTATAAGATGTTCAACAAAAGTAGCAAGCACAATGCAAAAAACGTACACAATATTATTAAGCACGCCAAAAAATATCAGCTGCTTGCTACTTACAAAATAAAACAACAACTTGCAAAATAAAATAATGTAATTTCAGCGTGATAAATAATTATTATCTCGCCAAAATCATGAGCTGAAATGATACTTCAGCTAGCCGCCAGCTTGATGCTATGACCATACGATGCCATAGCAGTGTTACAAAGGTATTTACCATTTCCTGTTTACGAGTGAAGTTTTACTCTTATGGCATCTTTGTTTCCAGTTAAATTTATGCTCGTTTCTTTCTGCTTCCATACGTTGTCTTTAACGTCTGCATTTTCTGGTCAGTTTTCTCCTGCTGATCTTTGCTGCATAATATATAATGAACTGACCAAGTTACGTACTTTCGGAATTCGAATCTGAGCGGTGTATTATTTTTTCTCGTCTTTCGTGGGACATGTTCTCTTAGCTGGGTGCAAGGCGGTTCTCTGGTAATACAAACCACTGTGTGTTTTATAAAAATGAAATAAATATATCGTAGATGTTTCACGCCCCTATCAACACAGTTTAGATAATTATAGAGGTGGGTTGCTTCGGTCCTGCCAGTGTGGGCCAACCCGCGCCGAGAGGGAAACGATGTCTCAGCAGACTGAAGGAGATTTGTAAAAATGGAAATCAAACTCACGTCTCATGCGTTTGACCGCTACACCGCGGACACCGGTACCCTGTATCTGACTGGGTGACACTTGGGTACAGAAAACTATGCTTATGACTGGTCTCAAAACGTCACTAACACGTTTTCATCCTCAGCTGGCGGGATGTGGTCCTTTTCGGCCTTGTCCAAAGTAAACTATAGCTTAACGAAACAACTCGTGTGGTTGGTTGAAGGACGCCCCAAGTAGGTCCAACTTCCTTTGTTTTCTCTTTATCTGTCATTTACACATATCATGATAATGATTAGATTATTATAGAATCCATGTCTTTTTTTTCATACCTAAAATGACCGTTGCAAAGTCGATGTGCTTCTAGCTCTTCACTCAAACATTAAATTACTTGTCCTTCAGAAAAAAAGCTTTGCTATCACTGCTATTATCCTAGAGACAGAGGTATCTATTAGGAACTCAGCCTGCCATAAATAAATAATAATAGTATAATGATGTCGTATGACAATCAATTACAAAAAATACAAAGAGGGCACGAGCAGACGGTACAGTTATGCAGGTGTAGAACGTTTTCATTTAACATTCCATGGCGTCACCTGACGTCAAATTTCGCACTATGAGAAAAGTATCAGAACCACATTCTATGACTCAAACTCACCTGTCTCTAACAGTAACTCTGAACGCACACTCTACTTTTAGTGAATGGATCATAGCCCAGGCATCGACCAAGGCATAATGGCAGAGTACAGGACATCACAGGATCGCCTGGGCTAATCAACAACCCCGGGCTCACTGCCTACTTTAGCAACCTCGCTATGGACACAGCGAATTGACGTCATCAAGAGTATGCGCTCACACGATGAGCTTAAGCTAATGCAGTTGGCAACTGCCCCCCCCCCCGCACTTCTTTTTTTTATCCTGATGACCTTGATTCGCCCTTTCCAATACTGTTCCCCCTCTCCCTTTTCCTTGTCGCTCTCAGTTTCTCTATAGACTCCAAGTTCTAAAATGTACACCTCCTCAAGAAATTAATTTCTGGAGACGTAATCGTCCTTTAAGTGGAAACGCTTTAAAGGTTACACTTTCAAAAATGACACTCTCAATGAAAATGACGTACCCAGTTATTACTCACAGTAATTCCTGGGAAAGTTTTTTAAAAAGAGTGAGATGCAGAGATGAAGATATTCCACTCCGAAAAACCAGCGGTGAGATGCAAACAATCCTTATGTAATCCTTTATGGCCAAACCTTCTGTCTGTTTTGTATGTCTCCCTTTCTTCATAGACATTCGTCAAAAGAATCTAACAATATGTTCAGCATGATATAATATTTTCAAATTGTCTGTTAGACAATACATTTCTAACATGCAAACTCAGACTCACAAATACGTTGCAGAAAAGTACAAAGTAATACGAAAGAAAAGTGTACTTCGATGCAGTAAAATCAATAAAATAGACTCGCAACTAAAAGAGCAAGAAAAGAGTGAAAGAACAGAGGATTCTACTAACTTGATTAACTTATGAAACAAACGCAGTTAGCAATATTAAGTAATCTAATCATTATGTTAATTGGCCTGGGGTTGGGGTTTTTTTCCCCGAAGCCGCAAATCCTGACAACTGGCGAATAAAAAAGTGCACTTTTCCAACAGACAAAAAACGCTAAATTACAGATGCTGAATAAGAGTTTAGAATGCACAGTTTCACCTGAAAATTCCGTGTGAGAACACAGGCGAGCGATAATTATCCGGTTTGACCTGTATATACTAGTTTATTCTGTTCCAAAACTATTCGTAACGATCATAGTGCAATTGCGTAAGACATTTTTTCAGGGTTCCTAGTTATTTGCAATTACGAGTAATTGAGACATTTTATCTTTTGCTTGAGTCATAGGATTGATATATGAAAGCACTAATTCGTTAATCCCCCCCCCCCCAAAAAAAAAAAAAACAACCCCCAACAACAAACAAATCCAACAAAAAAACAACAACAGAAAAATGACTTTGGACATAGTGTTACGTCCGTGACAAATATGCAGTTCTGTCCAGACAACCCTAGTATTTTTTCTCACGTAAGTACACTTCCCAGATGTAGTGCACTTCTGTCTAACGCTGGCTGGCTGTTGTTTCTGTTTGGTAGACTGTCAAAGGCGTCACATTAACGATATGTTCTCCATCAAGGCTTTTTCTTTGTGCTTTAGTTTAAGTTATCTAAGTTTTAAATTAAGCTGCATGGAAAAAGAAAACGTATTTTAAAGGCAATGCCTTGCCCCC